TGTGGGCTCAGAGCCAAGCTCTGGCACACAACACCTGTTATGCGTAAGGATGTGTTTCCTTATGAGCCAGAACAGTCTCAGAGAATCAAAGCCAAAGCTGTCACATAACATTACGAATGAGCTGATAAACAGGCTTACTGTTATTAGCTAATGTGAGTAGGGGACTTCTGTTACTTGGTTCCCTTGTTTACTAAGTACTTGAGTGTTAGCTGGGATCACCTCAAAGCTACCAGTCATCTCTTCCACCAGCACCACTGATATCCCTTTGTTAATGGAAGAAATTGAGAGGTGGTCATTTGCTCTCTAGTTGAGTGTCGAAGGGGTGAAATAAGGCTGGGTTGTGGACACGATGGGAGCAGTCGAGGTCACTCAGATTCTTTGTTTGCAGATTCTTCTTTAAGCTTCTTGTCTTGTAGATTCAATAACAGAGAACCCACCTACCTAATTTATTTGGAGAGCTGTGGAAATCGTAGAAGGTAACTGACTCGCCCCACTGCTTTCTAGAAGTTAATCAACAGACAAACTGTAAGGAAGGCCTCCTTGGTCCAATTTCCTGGTTAGGCAGTCATGGAAAGAGACCCAATTAGAGACTGCAGAACCCCAGGTCCTGGAGCGCCCCCATGTGGTTGTATTTAGATAAAAGGCGTTTAGTACATCCTAAGGAATGAATTTCTCCTTCAAAGGCAAAGTACCCGTTTGAAAATCAGAGACAGATTCATACAGGTGCCTGGCAGTGTACTCCTAATGAAATGGAACAAAGCAGTTGAATCCAGTTGGGGGCATACAACTGTAAATTAGACGATGCATGCAGAAGGCACTTAGTAAATGTCAGTGTTAGGCAGAAGGACCTCTACCCTTGCTTCTGTGTTTTTGAAATGGGCAAGGAGATCCCTGATCTTGAGATGCCTGTAGCCTCGTCAGTTGGAGCAAGGGGGCGGTGCAGAAGAGAGAGGGAGACAGCTTTATAGACAGCACTGCAGAGGCCAAAGCGTTCAATTCTCCCAACAAGCAATTCTTCAACCCTCGCACAGCTCTCCTGCCACCACTAAATATCCAAGTTGCCAAAGTACAGAAGTTGATGCTCGCTTTGTGATTCTTTTCTTGGTAACCAGCCGCCATTCTCATTTTTTTTTTTTTTTTTAAAACCCACAGAGAAGCCAATTCTACTCACTGTGCCAAACTGCCTTCTTAAAGGAGCCATACTGAGAGGCTGGTAAGAGCCAAGCCCAGTAATCAGCCCATCCCCAGATTTGCACCACAAGCAGGACAGTAACTGGGGTTCTTTCCCTTTCCTGACTTGAAGGCAAGTCGTGTGGATGATTTTCTTTCCTGTTTGTTTTAATTAAGTCATTTTCTTTGCAATGTTGGGGATAGAATCCAGGGTGTCACTTTGAGTAAACAAGTGCTCTACCTCTGAGCTATATCTCCAAGTCCCAATTTTATTTCTTGAGGCCTAAGCCTGGACAGACCTAAGCTGGATGGACACCTGGTTGTGGAACTCTACCCCAGGAGGAGGGGGGCGCATTCTGGAGGGCTTTTTTAAAAAATGCTTTTTTTTTATATGTAAGTACAGCATGCACATGAGGCCGGAAGAGGGTGTCAGATCCTCTGGAACTGAAGTTATGGATGGTTGCCGCTGTCCTGTGGGTGCTGGGAACCAAACCTTGGTCCTCTGTGAGATCAGCCAGTGCTCTTACCAGCTGACCCATCTCTCCAGCTCTCCACTTCTGGAGTTTTAAAATCTAATGAGACCCTTTCTCCCCTCCCTCCCTACCCCCAATGTACATGGATTGTTTGCATACTGCTTGAGTGTAGTGGGGGAAAGGGAGGAAGGAAGGGAAAGAAGAAGGGCGAGAGGGAGAGAGGGAAGGAGGGAGACAGGGAGAGAGGGAAGGAGGGAGGGAGGGAGAGAGAGGGGAGAGAGAGAGAGAGAGAGAGAGAGAGAGAGAGAGAGAGAGAGAGAATCTCAGTCCTTGATAACATATCTAAAGAGCAAGGGGCTGAAAACTAAAACAGTAACCTGGCTGGCTTTCTCTTTTCCTCCTGTGTCTGGCAGTTCTTTAGGAATGTGCCTCCTTTCCCAAGAAGAGAGATGATTCCAAGGGCCTCAGGCTTCTGGGAACAACTGCTCCTTTGAATGAATTCTTGTATGGTATAGGTCCAAAAGTCTCTGTCAACTGGAATGGAAGGCACAGTTCAGAGGGTGCACGAGTGTGTATGTGTGCATGTCTGCACACGTGTGTGTATGTATGTGTGTGTGCTTGCGCGCATGCTCGGATACGTGTGCACTGCCCGTGCACTCACAGTGGTGACTTTTCAGCTCACTAGCTCCGTTCTCAGAAAAGCCAGGTCTTCTTGGCAAAGGAGAGGAGACATTTCCCTGTGCACCTAAAATAAACCAGTGAATCATTAAATGGACCGACCCGATACCTCGGCACTTTACCACCCCCCCCCCGTCTTAATTTAGTTTTCTTTTTTGTTGCCCAACAGGGTTTGTGCCCTTCCACCCCCGCCACAGGGTTTGATCCGTGGAGTCACTTCCGGGCTGGGCGTTTGTGAATCCTCCTCCTCCCGCCTCCCCGCTAGGCTTTTTCTCGCTCACTTTCTGAGTTTCACACTACGGTAGCAGGAAGTGTGGCAACTGGCATTTGCTGTAAACACATCAGGAATTTGGATTGCAACCGAACACAGAAAGTAACAGAGCACACACACACAAAACACAAGAGGTTAAACTTGCTTTGTAAACTACAGCTGGGTTCAGGGTCCCTCCAGTAAGTAATTTTTAAAAAACTTTGTTCTCTGATTTACATTTTGTAGCCTTTATTTAAAAAAACACTATTTCATTAAAAGATTGTTTTCTTCTTTGGCCTAGGATAAGGGGGGGGGGTACTACGAACAGAAAACCACGGACACTTTGCCCAGCCACTTTGCAAAGAACCCCCCACCCCCTCCCTTGTTTGGTTTCCGGGAAGGGGGGAGGGTGCTATTGCTCAATGAGCAGTCACTCCCTCACTGGTTCTGCTATTTCCTGTCCTGGTGAAGGACATTTCTCTTCTAAGCCCAAAGCCCTTGTGCCCAGGCTGGTGAAACTTGCAAAATATACTGTCACCTTACTTATGGGCTGCATTGGCCCAGGGCCAATTGACGGTGGGAATGCCCCTGGGGTTTGTAAACAGAGGAACAGGGGCTAACTGCCTGTTCTGCTTCAGCCACTGCCACTGGGACTGGGGGGGCATGGAGTGTAACCTCCAACCTTAGTGTTTTTTTTCCCTCTGTATCTGCCCAGCAAAGCCTTTTGACACTAAGTGGGGGAGTTTTGAACTGGGCAAGGTACGGTGACTGCAAACTTAGCTTCAAGGAAACAACTTCTGGTCTGTATTTGAAACCTAGAATTCGGCCAGTGCACCATTGTCTCCCCACGTGCCCTTTACGGTCCTTCCACATCTGGGTGTTTAGAGACAGCTTGCCTGTTCCCCAGCCTGTGCCTGGACGGTGTATCTGATGCTTATTTCTGACCAGTGTGTGATAGCTCATACATGCGGTGGGCTTGTGTGAGCTAATGTAGGTCTGTGTGGATCTGCATTCGCTGCACATTTGTGTGAATATGAATGTGTGTGCATGCAACCCACCGGTCTGGCAGGAATGAAAATATTCTAAAGGGACACTGTGCCTCTCTTCCATTCAATTGAAACAATGGGCCCCAAGAACTTAGAATTTCCCCAGGAATCAGACTGCTAGGGGAAGAAAAGAACGTAGCTCGGGAAGGGGAACTTGCAGCCCCAGGAGGAAATTGTTTCCTGGAGAAAGATTTACAACTTGTCAGATGACCTTGCAGAAGAGACTTGAGTTGAGATAGTGGTGGCTGGGGACTCACACTTGGCCCCACACCTCAGCTATACATATCTCCTGCCTTCTATCACCCTTGGGGCTGGAGAGACGGCTCAGTGGATAAGAACACTTGCTGCTCTTGCAGAGGACCCAGGTTCTGCTCCTAGTACTCATGAGGCAGCTAACGAGCGCCCCTAACTCAAGTTCCAGGGGATCCGACACCTTCTTCTGGCCTCCACAGGCATTGGACGACACAGATGCACTTACATAAATGCAGATAAAACACCGAAATACATAAAATAAAAATAAATTTAAACAATTTAAGAGAGAACTTGACCCTCATGTCCAGGATCCCAGAGATGGACTTGGGTGGCACTGGGTCTCGTCGTCCCTCTTCCTAATGTGGCCACATTGAATAAATCTTCCTCTTCTGCTTTTCCCTGTTAATTTAGCTCTTTTAATCCATTTATCAAGGGCTGGTGGCTGACCCTGGCTTGGGGGGGGCGGGGGGTGTAAGACTGCAACCCTAAGTCCAGTAACATGTGTGCGTTAGTCTATTCCTGTATTTTTAAGTATGAATGTGAAAGTGTGCAAAAGCTGTGTATGAATACGTATCTGAACATGTCTGTGTGCACCTATAGTGGGGTACTGTACATGTGCTCATCCAGTTGCTTAGGAATCCTGGCTTTCAATTTACAGGGAGTAGCTTGCCCAACCTATCACCGTCCAGGGTAACCATGACTCAGCTGTCTAAGACCAAAGCTGCCCCCTGGCTTAAGGTGGAATCAAGTATGTCCCAAAGCCCACACTCAGCATACTACTGCTTTCGAAGTCCGGTCTTGGACTCCTAAGACAGCACTTTTCCAAAATAGGTACCATACTCAGGGAAATCCAAGAGGATTTGGGAGAGAATTGTCTTCTGAACATTGAGGAAGAACCCTGATTTTATACTGTGGAAGATCAAGTCATCTCAGATAGCAGTGCCAGATGACATTAAAGGTTAAAAATCCAAAGGTACTCTAGAAGTCAGTTTTTAAAATTATATCAGAAAAAGGTCTAGAATATGTGACTATCAGTCACTGCCATGACACTTTGCAGTTCATCTTAATAGACTTATGGTCCTGTTCAGTCCTCTGTATGAGAATTAAAAAAAAAAACAAAAACACCTCAAGTATTTGAATAATCTGTAAATTTTTATTAACTGGGGTTATGGGGAGGGTTTTTATCAGAGCACATCCTGAGAACATTAGAAAATTACAGACAGACGTGAGATAGGCATCAGACAGAACAGATGAAGCAAGCCGCTCGACCATCTGAGAGACATTAATAATGTAAGCTTGCAGAGACCAAATCTTTGTTAGGGGTAAAAGGATGCAGGGTGAAAATGGAGGCCTCGGCGCCCCCTTGCGTTGCAAAATAAACCTGCAACTTCATTTACCTCATTTTACTCGTAGTTTTCCTTTTGAAGTTGGTAATCCAAGCCCTCGTCCCTGAGCCTCAAAAATAATTGTTTTCCCAAATCATTTCAAGCCCTCTTCAGCGAATCATTTCCCCCTCACCGATAACTTTCAAGGACCTATTTGAAAACCGACTCTTAATTCATCCCTTTTTCTACCCCTACATTCCATTCCAGGAAGTTGGCAGCCGCCCAACACAGAGCCCGCCCAGAGCTCTCCTTCGTCAAGTGCGAACTAGAACAAATGCATCTTCCCGTCCTCCCTTCAAGCTTAGAGGATGAGCACACGTTTGCTACAAAGCTGAGGGTTCTTTTCTTCACAGACATTTTTCTTCTGCAACGTACTGGATGCTGCCTTATTTTTTCATAACAAAGATGCCTCTGTCTACCTCCTCTCCCTAACCCTTGGCAGTCATCAACTCTCCCGACTTAACTAGTTAACCTGTAACCCATTTTTACAGGAAATCTGAACCAGAGACATAAATAATACACCTCGATCTACAACGGTTCGGGTTGAGGTTGTAGGCAGAATTTTGTTGGGTGGTCAGGAGAAGAGCAAATATATACATAGGAGTGTTTGGACGGGAGCGGGAGCAGGGAGGAGAGACCATCTCGGTGGAGGAGAACCTGGTCAGGACAGTAGTGATTTGATTACTTGGATTTTCCAACTGGTCCGATGGATACAGGGTCTGTTTGCACTTGAGCATCCAACATCCGCTTTGGTCCCTGGAGAAAAACATAAAGCATTCGTAGCCCACTGAAGATGTGAAAGACCAACAGCAGCAATCAGTACTTAACCAAGCACTACTTTGTGCTTGGTGTTGTGCTAAGTAAATATATCCTATTCATGGGTAGGAGAATGATCTCCAATTAGATGCTTGGGTTCAATGCCCAGGCATATTATTTTCTGGTTTTGTGAATCTTGGACAGATTATTTACGTGTTTGTGGTTTGATTTCTTTGCCTCTAAAACAGGAATGATAAAACTCATTTCAGGGAATTGCTCCCATGAGAAAGCACGCTTATATTCATGATAGAGTTAGAACAGTCCCTGGGGGTGGACCTCTCATTGCAGTTCATTTTAGACACCCCCTCCCTAATCACGGTCAAGAGACTCACTCCTGTTTCACAAAATGCTTTATTCCTCATAAAACATACTACCAAATGAAGTAATCTTATGAACTTTTGTCTGTCTGATGTCTTCCTTCTCTATGGATGCTGTCTTCTGTGTCCTCAGGGCCTTGCAAGTACCTGGCACATGGAGGGGGCACCTTACTACTGTCTCAAAGTGGCAAGTGGATACCGGAAGGTAGGTGCCGTTGTGGCTGTACTATTGGACTTCTACTGTTTCTGTCAAGTATAACAGAAACAGCTTAGCCCTTCCTATACACAGCTCTACGAACTTAGACCAGTACAAATGGTCATGTTAGTACCACCTAAATCAAGATATCACAGACTCACTCACAGACCCTGGAAACCCCTGATCTTTCCTCATTATAGAGTTCTGCCTTTCTAGGATTCTTTTTGTTATGTTTTGTTTTCCAGATTAGGTAGCCCAGGCTGTTCTGTAACTCACTGTGTAGCCCAGGCTGGCCTTAGATTCACAGCATTCCTCCTGAGATCTAGGATTACAGGCCCATATCACCATGTCTAGAGGTCTCAGGATTTAAATCAAGGAATCATAGAGTGCCTAGTCTCTGGGCCTAGCTTCTTTCATGTTGCACATGGATTAGAGATTCATATGTTGTATGTATCAGAGGTTTTATCAATGGTAGTTCCATGTCATAGTATAAAGTAGTACCATGTAATGCAGGATTGTGCACAGGGCACCATAAAGTATGTGTACAGTACAGTTTAGTACTGTACTGTAGTAAATAAAGTAAGTATAGGATACAGTGTAGTACATGGTATAGCACAGGGCAGAATAAAATAGGATAGTGCATATTACATCACATACACACACACCTTGTACTTTAACAAAGTAAATATAACACAGTATTGATTTTTTGCATGTGTGTGTGGTATAAGCAAGCTCACATATGTGTGGGTGCACATGTCTTTGGGTACACATGCATGTGTGTATGTGTGCATGTGGAAGCCAGAGGTTGATGTCAGATATTTTCCTCAGTTGTTCTCACCTTATATATTGAGGCAGGATCTCTTGCTTGAACCCAGAGCTCACCCATGTGGCTAATCTAGCTAGCCATCTTGCTCCACGGATTCCCTGTCTCTACCTCCGAAGTGCTGGGATTACAAGTCAGTGGCCACTCCCACCGGGCATTTACATGTGCTTTACCCATTGAGCAATCTCCCCAGCCCACAATAATGTATATCATATAGTACATGTAGAATTTACATAGTATAGCATAGCAAATACAATGCAACATTTTAATATTTTATACATACAGCATAGCATAAATACATGCATCCTAGAGCAGAACACAAATGCAGTATAGGGTAGGGTAACATGCTAACAGAAGACATGTACATGCTTAGTATATGTGCTGGTTAGTTTCTGTCAACTTGACACAAACTAGAGACACCTAGGAAGAGGGAATGTCAATCAAAGAACCGCCCCCACCAAACCGGCCTGAGGAGCACTTTCTAATTGCGAATAGATGTGGGGTGCCCAGCCCACTGTGGGTGCTGCCGTTCCTGAGCAGGTGGGTCTGAGCTGTATAAGAAAGGTAGCTAAGCAAGCCGGCCAATAAGCAGTGCTCCTCCAGGGCCTCTGCTTCAAGGCTCCTGCCTCGAGTTCCTGCCCTGACCTCCCTCACTGATGGATTATGACCTGGCAGTTGTAAGCTGAAATCAACCCTTTTCTCCCCAAGTTGCTTTTGGGTCATGGTGTTTGTCACAGTAATAAAGAAACCAAACTAGAACAGTATAATATAATTTAGTACAGCATACCTGATTTAGCATAGTATAATATAGGATATTATTCTGTATTATTGCATAGTACATGTATACTGTGCTGGATAGCTTTAGTGTCAACTTGACACACTTGGGTTGAGGGAGCCTCAATTGGGGAATTGCCTCTATTGGACTGGCCTGTGGCCATGTCTGAGGGGCATCTTCTTGATGAGTGATGCGGGAGGGCCCAGCCCACTGTGGGTGGTGCCACCCCTGGGCAAGTAGGCCTGTGTTGCATAAGAAAGCAGGCTGAGCAGGGACCGGGGGAGCAAACCAGTAAGCAGCATTCCTCCATGGCTTATGCTCCAGCTCGTGCCTCCAGGTTCCTGCCCTGAGTTCCTACCTTGGGCTCCCGGATGAACCGTGACCTGGGATATGTAAGCTAAATAAACCCTTTCCTCCCCAAGTTGGTAGTGGTCAGAGTATTTTGTCACAGCAATGAAGAACAAACTAGGACAATATTATTATGGTACATTATAGTATTGTACATATAACACATATAGGCTATATATAATGTATCTAGTATATAGAGTATATATAGTATCTGATTAGTGTGGTGCACTACAGTATATATATATGTATATATATATATAGTATGTGTAGATATAATAGTATTAAATAGGGTATCACAGTATATATACTATAGTATATAACATATATGGTATAAAGCATATACAATGTAGTATATATTATGTCATTTGACACTGAAATCAGATGGCTGGGCTTTGTATCACAGATCTGCCACTACCTAACTGTTTGACTTCTGTCACCCTGTTTAGTCTCTGCACCTTAATTTTACCATAGGTGCAAAGAGAGTTCGCAGGTGACTGTGCAGGATGAAGGTCAGTGAGTGTCAACAGTATCTGATGTGGAGCAGTGCTAGTGAGGCAACTGTTTTTAGTGGTGGCAGTTGGCTCTGTGACCGCTGTGGCATGCCAACAAGTGTCACCCATGGCATCAGTCTTTGGATGGTCAGGATGACCAGGGTTACTGTGTGCGTGGCTCCTCAAGGCCGATGAAGTTGGGTTTGAGGACTGTGCCATGCCTTTCAGCTTTCATGACCTCCTCAGCCCTCACCCTGGGAGCCTGGTGCCTCATGTAGGGCAGTCTTGGTCTTCCCAGAAGCCTGCGGGGTTATTACTTTCCACTTTCACCCTTAAGAGTAGGCGACAAGCACTGCTTCTGGCTCAGCTCTGCCTGAAGCCTGAGCTAGTGGCTCAGTGCTGGACCATTCCTGGCCTCTGTATTTGCTCAACATTGTGATCAGCTGCTGTGATTTAGTGCAAACTACTGAAGGCACATGGGACCCTAGTGCAGGCTGACTAGGTGACCATCTCTAAAAGCCATTCCTCAGCTACTTGCAACTTGCCAGGCATTGTTCTAAGACCATGGGTCTAGGTCTCTTCACCTTGCTACATCCAGCTTGCCTTCCAGCAGTCTGTCCTGCACACAGTCCTGTCCTGCCCTGTTCACCCACCACCACCAAACTCCCACATATTAGTTACCTTTCTGTTTCTGTGAGAAACACCATGATCAAAGTAACTTACAGAAGAAAGAGTTTAATTGGGCTTACAATTCCAGAGGGATGAAAAGACCACCATGGAAGAGAAGCATGGCAGCAAACGACAGGCAGTAGGAAGCTGAGCTGTCGCATCCTCAACCACAAATACTCAGTGGCAAGAGCAAGGTGGAAGTGGGACCAGGCTATGACTGGCTCTCAAAGTCTGACCCCAGTGATGCACTTTCTCCAGCAAGGCTGTACCTCCAAAAGGTACCATAACTTCCCCAAACAGCACCACCAACTGGGGAGCCTATGTGGGACGTTTGTCATGCAAACCACCACACTTCCTGTGGGCTGTGAGCTTGGGTCCTGGCAGGCTCAATGGAGCCAACTCAGGTTGCCAAGTGGCTGCTGTTGGCCTCACTTTAGCTTATAGATCAGCTTTGACAAGCACATTTTCTTCTTTTATTTTAAAAATGAAATGCTGATATCTGATGCTCTTTGACCTTATTCACTGAGGCAGGGGCTCTTAATCAAACCCAGAGCTCATCCATATGTAAGCCTTGCTAGTCAGCTTGCTTTGGGGATCCCCTGTCTCTGCTTTGAGGAGCTGCTTGCCCACCTGGCATTTATGTGGGTTTCTGGGAGTCCAAACTCTGGTGCTCACACCTGCATGGCAAGTGCTTTAACTGCTCAGTCATCTCTCCAACCCAACTGTTTTCTCTTAGCAACAATAAAAAGAGCAGATAGGTCCACAGTCCTGCAGACAGCACCAGATGGGATCAGAGTCATGCTGAACAACACATGGTTGTGCCCCACTGAGTTTGGGGCTTTGGAGGTCAGAGTCACATATGCAACCCTGTCCTGTCTCATGATCAGGACTGAACATCACCAAAGCCAACCTCTCTTCTGCCTTCTCACCGGCTTAGTGAAGTAAGCTGTGCTAGTTTTACAGATGTAGAAACCAAGGCTCCAAAACAACTGGGGACTGTGAACTGGTGGCTGGCATCCTGACTTGGAGTCTGCTGTTACCAGCACTAGCCTGCCCACCATTCACTCTTTCTAGCCCTTGGTCCCAAGCTCCAGCTGTGACCAAGCTGAGTGACACAAGCCATTCTTGTTTGAGCTCAGTGGAGACACTGACTTCCCCTTGAAAGCATCCATCTATCCTCCCATTATACCTGCAGATTGTCCCACATAGGGATCCACAAATGTGGGCCTACTTCTCTATCTATCTGAGGGTGTGTGTGTGTGGAGGGGTATGCATGTGTGTGTGAAATCCCTCTGCCCCAAAAGAAAAGGAAACACTTGCAGACAGTGGCACTTTGGAGTTCTCTGGACTTCCTGCCAGTTCTCCCCAACTTTTTGGTACTGAGTAGGCTGTTCTCATGAGAACCTGGCATGAGGGGGAAGGGCAAGCAAAGGGACTGAGTATGAAAATGACACCCAGAGGAAGTGACAAGCAGTGCCATCTTACCCAGGGTAGCCAGGAATCTGTTTCCTGTGAGTGACAGGCTAGGATGGTGGCAGTCAGAGGAAGAGGATTGGTCAGCATAGGGACCTGTGTCCAGCCTGTGAGTATTGGAGGTTTAATCTTAGGAAAGGGCAGACAGCCCTCCCTCTACCCTCACCCTGTCTGTCTCCTGAAAATGACAGAGTAGGCCTCTTGGGGTATGGGAGACCCCGAATGAGCTGTCCCCCCCCGCCCCCCGCCATCCTGCTGTTGCCTCCTAGAAGCTGTGCAGTGTGCAGCAAAGGACAGGACTTCTCAGTCATTCAGGTGAGACATGGGAATAGGCAATTGTGCCACAATTAGAGATGTAAGGGTAAAGTGGCATGGTTGGGCTCCAGGACTAGAACCATAATTTGTGTCTAAATGGGTCCACCTCTGTTTACCTCTGATGCCACCTCGAGGCTAAACCCTGCCAAATGCTCCCACTGGACAGGCACTAACCAGGTACTATTTCTGCTGGTACCCATCATCCACTTCACTCGCAGCAGTGAAGTCTTTACAGGTTATAAACAGGGACCTGAGACTTCCTTGCTAAGGCCAACTAATAGCTACCCGCCATGGCTTTGTAGGACTTTGTCAACTTCTCTGTTGGGCCTGCAAGAGGAGGAAGTCCCTGTTCACTGTGGGAATAACTTGGATAATATGGACATACTCTAGACACCTAATGACTTTTACCTAACTTTGCAACCAAAAAGTTAATCTTACATTAGCTTGTTTATAACGTAGAGAAGTTCACTGAGCCTTGGGCTCCTCTTGTGACCTGGGCATATAACCTTAATCCCATATGACCTTTCTTTGCCCTTGACCCAGAATAATGTATGAACATATATACATACATATATGTATGTATATATGTTCAAGTTCTAGTGAGAGACCCTGTCTAGAGAAGCAAGGTGGATGGCTCCTGAGGATTAACACCGAAGTTATCCTCTGGCTTCTACTTGCACATGCATATACATGCATGCACATGTGCATATTGACATACACACACACACACACACACACACACACACGAGTGTTTCTTAGGAACTCATGTCTCATCTTAGGAACAGAGAAAGATGAGTGGTACCAGACAGGAGGTCCTCATAACTGAATCATCTCTCCAGCTCCCTCCTCAGAAATAATTTCTGCAGAGTCAATTCAAAACAGCACCCTCCCCCATCCCAGGCCAGCTCCACAGTGTCACCCTGTTTATTTCTTTGCCCAACTTCCCACACTAACATTTTTGCCTGCTAATTTCATTTTTTAATTTTGTTCATTAAGTTGTAGAAAATGGAAGGAAGCAAAGGAGGAAGGAGAGATTTGAATTGCTACAAATTTTGGATCACTATGGATGCCTCATTCAAGCTCTACATTCACAAGTGGATGTTCTGTTTCATTTTTATTCAGAGTTGGAGAGATGGCTCAGTGGTTAAGAGCACTGGCTGCTCTTGCAGAGGACCTGGATTCAGTTCTCAGCATCCACATGATGGCTCACAGCCATCTACAATCCCAGATCTAGGGGATCCAACACCTTCTTCAGGTCTCTTTGGACACTGCATGCATGCAAGCAAAATACCCATACACATAAAATAAGTAAAATTTAAAATAAAATAAAACCTGGAATCTTAACAAAAGATTTATTTTTAATCATGTGTATGTGGTATGTCTGTGTGAGTGTAGACTCTGTGCGTGCAGTGCCTGCAGAAGCCAGAAGAGGGAGTCAGAGGCCCTGGAGCTTGAGTCACAGGCAGTTGTGAGCTGCCTGACATGGGTGCTGGGAACTGAACTCTGGTCCTCTGGAAGAACAGTGAGGTCTCTTAACAGATCAGCCATCTCTCCATCTCCATAAGTGGATAGTTCTTAAATGTGCAAGTAAAAATCACAAGGGTGGGTGGTTGAAGTTAGATACAGCATTTTATAAATGAGTAACAACTTCAAGTTACATATAATATTCCATTTAAATTTTATGTATGTATATGTGTATGTGCATGTTCATGTGTGTACATGGGTACATGTGGGTGTAGATGTGGAGGTGAGAGAGTACACTGAATGTCTCTCAACAGGAATGTCTTCTATCTCCTTTGCCATGGGATCTCTCATTGGTCTAGAGCTCACCAGTTAGGCTAGACTGCGGACCAGCGAGTCCCGGGGATCTTGTGTCTCGGTCTCCCAGCACTGGGATTACACGTGCATGTTGCTGTACCCAGCACTTTTACATTCTGTGGACTGAACTCAGGTCCTTATGCTTTCAAGGCAATCAATCACTTTACTGACTGAGCCAGTCCTCCAGCCCACATATGTGTATGGTAGGCAAGTTCTCTACCCCTGAGGTGTATGCTCCACCCTCCTTATTTAAATTCTTACGTTGCAAACCTCAATCTAACAGCACCTCAACACACCAAAACCTAACAGCAGAGTGTAATGGACAGCTGGATTCTAGCCAATCACAAATAGTCTACCTTTGGCCAGTCACAGACAGTCAGCGCATCACCCCATGCCCAAATAAGGTGAACAAGTCCATCACACCACTCTGGACGGCTGCCTTAACAGGGTGATTGCCCGGCATCCCTGTCCATCCTGTAGAAGCTTGTGGTTGACAGAGCCAGGAGGAGCTTCGGGGACCTCTTCTGTTCCGAGTGCTGCCTGATTCGTGGGTGGATCCGTCTTCAAATACCCTGTCTTCAATTTGTCTAATCTTTTCCTAAAGATCTGGCTTTCGTTTTTGATTATGTGTGGACGTGTGTGTCTGTGTGTGTCTTTGTGCACGTGTGAGTGCAGGTGAGCGAGGAGTCCAGAAGAGGACGTCAGATCCTTTGGAATCGACATTATATTAGGGAGTTGTGAGCTGCCTGAAATGCATGCCGGGAAGAGAGCTGGTGTCCTCTGCAAGAGCAGCAGTCCATGCTCTTAGCTGCTGAGCTGTCTCTCCAGCTCCTAATGCCTTTTAACACTCAATAGCGGTGTTGTAGAGACGGGGTCCCACAGGAACATGGGAACTGCAGGTGTTACTGCAACCTCCTTTACAGCTGAGGAGGCCCAGGCTCTGAGGGGTTGAGTGACCCGGACGCAGGCAGGGACATGAACGAGCAGGACAGGAGCAAGCTGAGTGGACCAGCTTGGAAGCACAGGTGCTCTGCCCCCACCCCCCATGCTACTTAGCTTTTTCTGTTCCTAGCACCTGGTGGCCTCGTCCTTCCTGCCCCTGACCTTGGGCTCCAGAATAGCCAATGTCTCTGCTGCCCTCTATGCCTAGCACAGTGCCTGACACACAGTAGGTGCTCAAGAAGCGTTTGTCCGCTTTCCAGGCAGCCTTTCCCTCCTGAGATGGCAACCTCATCCTTGGCTGAGAACCAGAAAGAAGAGACCAAGACAAGCACCAAGCCAAGACCCCCTCCCCCAAGCCCCACCACTCACCAGGCCCTTCAGGAAGCCCCCCAGGGACTGGCGCCGCTTCTCCGCCCTCTTTGGGGGCTTGTCTCCGTTCTGCAGCGGGTTTGCCTCCATGGCCGGCGGCGGCAGGGCGGGCTCCCGGGCCTCCGATTTGCTCTTCCGCCTGCTGGTCTCGGCTGCCGCCTTCTTGTCCTTCGCGATGCTCTCGGTGCCCTTCTGGGCTCCCGCGGGCTCCGGCTCTGGCGGCCTGGGGCCCTTCTCTGTGGAGTTGGACGTCTACAGCAATGGCAAACAGAGCCCGTTTAGTGACTGTCAGGCAGTTCTTACCAGCAGGGGATAAAGGTGTTAAAGCGGGGTGTTCAGATGTGGGAAATGAGCCTGAGGTAAAATGAAAAATGAAGGAACGATCAAGTCGTGTGTGGCAGGGGCATTTATCGATCTCACAATCCATTCATCAAAGTTGTGCTTTGCTACAAGCATGCCTTCTGTACTCTTGGTACTGGAGTGTGGGTTTTCTGAGGATCCTCACCTTCCCACCGGTAAACTGAGGCAGTGAGACTATTAGGTGACTACCTACTAGCCCGCCCATGAAGCCTAGGCAAACTAATTCTAGCCCGGGATGAGGGCATGTGACCCATGCCTGGCCAATCACAGCATCGAATGCATTTGCGCAGCTCTGATTGGCTCAGGAGAGCAGACGCCAGATAGGGGCTGATCTGATCTTAGAGCTTTGCTAGAGTAATCAAGAGAGGCCTGGTCTCTTTCCTTATTGAAGCCAGCCGACGTGGGCGTGTGACCCCTGGACCGGCCCTTCCTGAAGCTATTGCACGCTTAGACCAGCTTCCAGAGGGCTTCTTACGCTTACCGCATGTGACTTCTTTCTTCTTTAAGAAAAGATTCATTTATTTTAATTTTATGTGTATGAATGCATTCTGTGCGTGTATGTAAGTGTACCATATCAGTGCCTGGTGTCTAAGGAGGCCAGAGAGGGTGTAACTGCATTTATTGATGGTTGTGAACTGCCATGTGGGTACTGGAAATTGAACCTAGTCCTCCACAAGGGCAGCAAGCGCTCTTAATCACTAAGCCTTTCACCAGCTCCATGACTTATTCCTTGAGGCTGTGCATTTTAAAATTCATGATCATATCTACCTTCATTTTTTTTTTTTTTTTTTTTTTTGGTCTTTTTGAGACAGGGTGTCCCTGCAGCCCCAGCTTGAACTCACAGAGATCTGCCTGCCACTGCCTCCCAGTGCTGGGACTAAAGGCGTGTGCCACCACACCGGGCTAATTATATCTACCTTCATTTTATTAAAAAATATTTTATTATTTTATTTTATATGTATGTGTGTATTGCCTGCATGTAGGTAAGTGCACCCGTGTTGTGCAATGCCCACAGAGGACAGAAGAGGCTGTAGGATCCCCCTGGAACTGGAGTTATGGACAGTTGTTAGCTGCCATGCTGGGATTTGAACCCGGGTCTTTTGCAAGAACAGCCATTGTTCTTAACTGCTGAGCCATCTCTCCAGCTCCTACCTTCATTTTTTAATGTGAAACTGTCTGTTTCATAAAATGGTCATTAAAATAATGGTTTATATGTTGTACATCTTTCAATACCAAGATGAGACACCCTCCTTGGTTCCTACAATTTAGAGGGACGTGACTGTAAAATCCCAGTCCTTGAAGACTCTGGGCAAACTGTAGATACACAGAGGCAGAAAAACAAAATCTGGTGGGAAGTTGAAACCTTTTTCTCATAATTTTCTTGAACTTAAATGCCCAGGAGGACCAGATGATGTGAAAACAAAAAGGGAAAACCCCACCCCATGGAGATGTCATTTCCCAGCTGTGAAAGCAACAGAGGCCGGAGGAGACACGAGGCCCAGGAGCGCTGGCTTTGGTACTGGGCAGATGACAGGGAACAGCAGGAGAAAGGTGGGGAACTCAGTGGCACACGCCCTGTCAGTGGGACAACGCCTACTCAGATCCCAGCTGGGAGATAACATGTGTCTGTGTGGCCCATGCTGGCCTTACACTTGTGATCCTTCTGCCTCTCCTCCCACGGGCTGCAACCCCGCAACCAGCATGTACAACCTCAAGTGATTTCTTTTTAAATTATTTTTATTTTATGTGAATGAGTGTATTGCCTGCATGTATGTAAGTGCATGTCATGCAGTGCCTACAGAGATCAGAAGATGGTGTTAGATTCCCTGGAACTGGAGTTATAGATGGTTGTTAGTCGTCATGTGGGTGCTGAGAACCAAACCCAGGTCCTCTTCAAGAGCAGCTGGTGTTCCCAACCACTGAGCCATCTTTCCAGCCTCAACACTGATTTTTTTTTTTTTTTGAAATGCAACTTTAAAACATGTACTTTGGGCCGGGCGTGGTGGCGCATGCCTTTAATCCCAGCACTTGGGAGGTAGAGGCAGGTGGATCCCTGTGAGTTCAAGGCCAGCCTGGTCTACATAGTGAGTTCCAGGACAGCTGGGGCTACAGGGAGACCCTGTCTCAAAAAGACCAAAACAAACAAACAAAACAAAAACACAAAAAACCATGTACTTTGGAAAGTCACAGGAAGCAATGAAGCTGAAACTACTCCACGGGCCACATTTCCCGTCCTCAGTACAGGTTCACGACCTCTGATTCATAAAGTCCTGGAGTTTCTGCAGCTAAGAGGTCCCCTAGCGGAGTTGTAGGCTTTGACCAAAAAACAGAGGGGCATTTACATCAATGAGCCTGGCGCAGCCCTGAGGGAGAAGCCATCAGACAGGCCTCCCTGGGCCTGAAGTTCACAGAGACTACAGATGCCCTTGGAGATCGGTGCTGACACCCAGTTACCCTGGCAGCCTGAGTCCTGGATCCTCTTAGTGCCCAGCAGCCAGGTCACAGCAAGTGCTAGAACACAGAGGAGAAAGTCCAAGTAACACAGCCCAGAGAAACTCCCTCCTCAGGATGAAGGGGCTCCCCACACCATGCTCCTCAGGAAGTCCAGGAGCCCTGTGATACTGTTCAAGCCCCCTGAACTGCATGTGTGTGGAACATATTAGCATCTAGCAGAGGCTAAAAGCACAGTGTGTGGAGTCAGGGACTTGGTTGGTTGGATCTAGTTCCAGCATATCTGTGCTGTGTGTAACCTGCATGAATAGCCTGTGTCCTCACCTGTGCTCTGTGTGACCTGCATGGATAGCCTGTGTCCTCACCTGCGCTGTGTGTGACCTGCATGGATAGCCTGTGTCCTCACCTATGCTCTGTGTGACCTGCATGGATAGCCTGTGTCCTCACTTACAGTGTGTGTGGATAGCCTGTGTCCTCACTTGTACAGTGTGTGACCTGCATGGATAGCCTGTGTCCTCACTTGTACAGTGTGTGACCTGCATGGATAGCCTGTGTCCTCACTTGTACAGTGTGTGACCTGCATGGATAGCCTGTGTCCTCACTTGTACAGTGTGTGACCTGCATGGATAGCCTGTGTCCTCACTTGTACAGTGTGTGACCTGCATGGATAGCCTGTGTCCTCACTTGTACAGTGTGTGACCTGCATGGATAGCCTGTGTCCTCACTTGTACAGTGTGTGACCTGCATGGATAGCCTGTGTCCTCACCTATGCTCTGTGTGACCTGCATGGATAGCCTGTGTCCTCACTTGTACAGTGTGTGACCTGCATGGATAGCCTGTGTCCTCATCTGTGCAGTATCATTTCATAGCACAATGACAGTCACATTTACCAAGTTCTGTTTGGGACCATGTCTGGCCCACGTGGAATGCCAAGCGCAGGTTGATGATTATCTTGGGTTTTCCTGGAGGGAAGTGTTTCCAGGACTTAACTGACAGCTCAACATTCAGGAAGTCCCTGGCCAATGGGTCAACGGACGAGCTGGTGACCCTGGCTTAACATCACCCGTGGCTCCTCTTTTAAGAAACCGTGAGTCTCTGAGTATAGATGAGGCAAGAAACAAAGGCTGAGTGTGACCTGCCGGTGGACCACGGCTCACCCTGCTTGGCCTGATTCCCTTCATGGTACAGGCTCAGTCTGGGCATACTTCCAGACTGTACTTCCACCTAGGCAGACAGACGCTCTACCACTGAGCTATAGTCACAGCTCTTGGAAAAATTTTTAAATTTTGAGGCAGGGAAAATAAAAACAAAACAAAAACTGAAAATTTGAGGTTAAGGATTGCTAAATCGCCCAGGATGACTTTGAACTCTACAGGCCCATGTTGGCCCTGAACTTTCAGATCCTTACATCTCAGCCCCTCACGTTGCAGGGCTTCTAGGTCTGTGTCACCAGGCCTGGCTTAATATGATCATTAATTGAGTTCAAGAATTGCCTTGTTGGGGCTAGAGAGATGGCTCAGCAGTTAAGAGTACCTGCTGAGGACCCAGGCTCAGTTCCCAGCACCCACATGGTGGTAACAACTGTCCATAACTCCAGCTCCTGGGGATCTGGTACCACCTTCTGGCCTCCATGGGAATTGCATGAATGCAGTACACTTACATGCAGGAAAACCACTCATACACATTTTAAAAATTGCTTTGCCATTAAATACTGAAAATTTGACACTTTGACTTGGGATTTGTCTTTTTTTCAAAACCCAGAGCAAACCCATTCACATGTGAACCGTCTAAGGAACCTGCTGGAACCCAGTAGTACTATGTCAGGAAGTTAAAGGACAAGGCCACTGGTATGTCCCATTCCATCCAGCCTCTGGAGGCATCCAGAACCAGGAGTGCCCAGCCTGTAGAAATACCAGCTAAGCCTTTATAACCCCGAGGGGTGAATCTCAGGGGAGCCGAGTCTCTATTCCTAACCCTCCACATTGAACAAAGCCTCTGTCATCCCCCATCGATGATGCATCAGTTCTCAAGGCTGGATTTGATGACCCTGAAGACAGAATTCTCAAATAGACTTCCGGCACTCCCGATACGGAGAGTGAGGTTTCCAGCTCGCTCAGAGCATCGCAAACTTCACTGCAATTTTAGAACCGCCAAAATAATTGACGTAGCTGTCTCACTGTAGGATTCCAGACAAACCAGCCTGTCATACTTAAATTTGTTTTTTAAGGATGGAGAGATGGCTCAGTGGTTAAGAGCACTGGCTGCTCTCACAGAGGGCCCAGGTTCAGTTCCCAGCACCTACATGGCGGTTAATAACCATCCCTAACTCCAATTCCAGGGGATTCAATGCCCTTTTCTGGTCTCCATGGGCATTACACACACATGGTGCAGTTACATATATGTAGGCAAAACATACACATAAAATAAATTTTAAGAAATTTGTCTTTTAAAAAATTTCTCTGTGTGGTATGTTTATGTATATGTATAGTATGTGAGTATATGTGTATATGATGTGATATGTGTGTATGATGTGTCTGAGTGCGTGTGCCACAGCACGAGTGTGAAGGTCAGAGGACAACTTTGAGGAGGTGGTTGTCCCCTCGCTCCTCGTTGAGGCGGGGTCTCCTTCCACTCCTGTCCTGGGTACTCCAGGCTCAGTGAGTTTCAGGGTGACTCTCCTGTCTCTGCCGTCCATTTCTCCACAGGAGTGCATGCCACCACATCCTGCTTTTAATGTGGACTCAGGGGATTGAATTCAGGTCATCAAGCTTGCACAGTAAGTGCTTTTACTGAACCTTCTCCTCAGCCCAAAGCTTTCTTTTTGAATCAAGTTAGTTTATCATGTTTCCAAACAAACTTCCTTTGGAAGTCTGGACTCCACAGTGGTCTAGATTTGGGAGCCCAACATAGGTATAAGTCAGAAGGAAAAGAATAAAACATATATATAATAAACTGATTATTATTAAAAATAGAAACACTAACATATTTAGAATCTTTGCTGTAGATTTGCATGATAGGAGCAGCACCGTAGGAAGATCATCTCCTATCAACAGTCTAATAACACATAAAGTAGCTGGAGTGGGCTGAATGGCATGACCCAAATTCCTGCTGAAGAGGAAGCCCTCTGAGACTGTTTTGGAGTAAGGGAGTAATTAATTAATGTCAGATGAGGCCATTGGGGTGGTGCTGTCCAAAAGGTGTAGTGTTATCATAAGACACAAGAGGGCACGCTTCCTCCCTCGTCCCAGCCTCCCAACCTTACCCTTCCAGGAGAGACAAGGCAAGGAATGGCATGACCCAAATTCCTGCTGAAGAGGAAGCCCTCTGAGACTGTTTTGGAGTAAGGGAGTAATTAATTAATGTCAGATGAGGCCATTGGGGTGGTGCTGTCCAAAAGGTGTAGTGTCATCATAAGACACAAGAGGGCACGCTTCCTCCCTCGTCCCAGCCTCCCAACCCTACCCTTCCAGGAGAGACAAGGCAACACTGCCATTTGCAAGGAGCAGAGAGCCTTCACCAGGAAGGACCCAACCACACCAGCACCTTGGTCTTCACCTTCCCAGCCTTCAGAACTGTGAGAAGATAAGTTTCTGTGGCATGAGCCACTCAGTCTATGGCGTTCTGTTACAGCGGCCCAGGTAAGTATAAAACAATTTTTGAGCCCTCTGCACCAGGAGTTCTCTTGGTGTTTCTCCTGTACGGATTCATGTAGGTACTACTGGGTGTAGTTTCCCAGCTCCCTGTACACTTGAGGAACTCGAGGCACTGAGAGAATGGCAGTCTGCCAAGGGTCATACAGCAAAAGACTGGCGGAGTCAGGATTGGAACCCAGGCCCTTTGAGTCCACACTCCAAGCTCTTAAGCACTGCTCATGTATTGCTAAAATGAATACCAGAGTATTTGATGATTTTTTTTAGAGGTATACACTTAAATTAGAAAGAATGCCAGATTGTAAAACATGACCCCCCATTTTTTGAGGTGAAATTGTATGCATTCCTGACTGGCCTTCAGCTTGATTTGTAGCTGAGGATGAGTTTGAAGTTCTCATTTTCCTGCTCCCACCTCCTAAGTGCTGGGATTACAAGCATTCACCACATGCCTCGTTTCATGCATTGCTTCAACTGAACCTAGGGCTTTGTTCGTGTGAGACAAACACTCTACCCACTGAGCTACATTCCCAGCCCAATGACCCCATTTTAAAAGAAAGAACATAGAGTTAGAAAACGCTCTGGTTCTGTTTGTTAAGAATGAAGAAATCATGGAAGTGGACTATGTGACCGCATGTCCCCTATTCATCTGTTTTAGAAATCACTCCTACCGTGTGCTAGGCCCTGTACAATGCGATAGAAAAATGGAAGGACTTGCTTGCTTCACAGTGTTCCAGACAGGGCTGGAAGGGAGCAGGGTTGACAGGCAAGGAACAGACAAAAGAACCATTACAATTCCAGAAGTGAACAAACACGATGGCGGTGATGCTTGATGGGCATGGCTGGTCTCTTTGAGGAGGTGACATTTCTGCTAGAACTTGAAGGCTGGGAAGGAGCTTCCCATGTGAAGAGAGAACAGGTGCACATTGGGTGAGAAGCTAGCTCTAAGTAGTTCATGCTGTGTTTGCAGAGCCCAGAATACAGGGGGTGCTCAGTCTGGGAACGCCACAAGGATGGCTGGGGATTGCACTGAAAAGCCTGGAAAGAAGTGAGAACGCACCAGCTAAACCCACCACCAGTGGAGTTCCGGGTCACTTACTTGGCAGCTGGAGTCTTTCTCCTTTATTTCTTCCGAGTGGGCGATCCCTCCACTCCCTCTCACTGACTACAATAACAAACAGACGATATCCTTTCAGTGACCAAGAGCACAGCAAACGTGGACAGTGCATAAAGTTCTGAAACCGATGACCCCGTCATTTATTCTTGAGACTTAAGAATCAAGACGGTAGAAGACCAACTGGAACAGGATTACTCATGAGAAATACAGATTTCTGTGTGTATAACCAGAGCCTGATAAAATCCAAGTGTTAGTCGCCAAAAAAGAGCAACAAAAATCCTAAATCCTGGGATTGTGTATTTCTGGAATGACTAAATCACAATGAAAATACTAGCGTTGAACTGGGCCATGGGGGTGGACAACTGTTACAGACCACTGTCCTCGGGGCATAAGAACCTCTCTATCTTCATCAATTGTGACTCCTTGCAAGAGACCTTCAAAGTCAGGCCTGTTGTCCTTCCCTCATAGAATGATGGGAGAAGAGGGTCATTAGCCCTCACCTGAGAGTCCAGCCATTCCCTCCACTTCCCTTCCAGCCACATGTGTTTCTGCCCAAGCTACATGGGGTCTCGTGGTCTCAGGAGGTGCTAGAGTATACAGAAGCTAACTGAAGGGGGACTCCATCTAGGTAGTCATGGGAAAGCCATTGTCCATGCTGGGGTGAGACTTGGGGTTGCCCACATTCCTGTGACTAACCCCTCACTATGCTCTGTGAGACCAATAAACTTACTGGTTTGCCAGTTAGACTCTGATGGAGTTAGTACTTTGACCTGTTGTTTGTGCCCTATTTAGGAAGAGATTTATCCACATCTCCCAGAAAACACCTGTAATCCCAGCATTTGGGAGATGGAGGCAGCAGGACCATGAGCTAATCCGGGCTACCTGAGATCCTGTCTCAGAAGGGAAAGAGGAAGAGGAAGGAGAAGAAAGTAGTGTGGGAATGAGGTGGTGGTTAAACACTGAATGACTGAATGAATGACTGAATGAATGAATGAACATAGTAGCCTTCCATTAGCACCGCTTGGCTGGTAGCCATTTTGCTATTTTTTCTACCTGGTGGCGATTTGGGGTGTAGTGAGCATTCCGTTTTCCACATTTTCCATTTTTTAGAAGCCCCTATAGTCAGTGGCATCTTTGACAGGGTTGTAGTGGGTTGAATTTGCAGCTACTGACTCCAAGGGACTGGTCCCAGGCACAGAAGGGAAGCATTGGCCTCACCTGGGGACTTGTTAGAAATTTGAATCCTGCACAGCTGCTGTGATCTACTGAATAAGAAGCTCTGGGGCCTGGGGCTCAGTCACCTGTGCTTTAACAAGCCCTCTGGGGCTTCCAAGCACCTGCTAGTGTTAACTGGCCGTAGTCATTTTAACTGCATATACAGTAATGCCTGTGTTTGATGCCTGATCAAATACCCATGTGGTCAAATATCCAACATTACCAGCTCAGGGCTAATCCCTGAATAGTTGGTCATTTCTTAGCATCTCCTGCTTCTGCTATGCAGAGAATAGAGACTAAGTGATGTGGGACAAAGGAGGCTCTCTGATTGCACGATTACCAACCAGGCTGTTCTTTTAGCAGACAGCATGCATCCACGATGCACCCCAAGAAGAGTTGATTAAAAACATTCCAGGCAGCTGGGGAGCTGGCTTAGTGGTTAAAGCACTTGTTGTGCTGGCAGCAAACTTGAGGACAGAGCTCAGGTCCCCAGAACCTACGTAAACTCTGGGTGGGCACATGGCCATTCGTAATCCCAGCGTGTGGGAGGTGGAGATGGGACCCCAGAAGAGGCTGCTGGCTGGACCAGTCATATCAGTGAACTCTAGGTTCGACTGAGGGACCCCACCTGAACATGTAAGGTGTGGAGGGGTCAAGGAAGGTGTCCAACACCAGCCTAAGACTTCTGTACACGTGTCTGCATTTTTCCTTTGGCCCTTTTTTTTTGGTCTTTTTTGAGACAGGGTCTCCCTGTAGCCCCAGCTGTCCTGGAACTCACTATGTAGACCAGGCTGGCCTTGAATTCACAGAGATCCGCCTACCTCTGCCTCCCGAGTGCTGGGATTAAAGGCGTGCACCACCACACCCAGCTCTTTTGGCCTTTTTGAGACAGTCTTCCTGTAGACCCACCTGACTTGGAACTTGCTATGTAGACCAGGCTGGCCTTGAACTCACAGAGATCCTCCTGCCTCTGCCTCCCGAGTGCACATGTGTACACATATACACCTGCACCCCCCATGCACCCACACAAATCTGAACATGCATACACACATGTCACACATACATACACATGAAAAAGCAAGCAAGTAAACAATAAAACCTTCCAGACACTCAAATGCATTTTGACTGATTAATATTACATGCCTCAGTTACCTGAGATGCAGGGCTCATATTATGAGAGATAATAAAAGTTATTGTTTGGGAAGGCGAACTTTAAGTGGAGAGCTTACTAAGTGCCAGGTCTTACGCTAAACGAGAACAACTCATGATTTAGTCACAATGCCAGAAACTTAACGGACAGGAATAATTGTTTTTATCATTTTTTTGCAAGCAGAAGAAATGGAAGCTCAGAGACACTAGGTTGGGTCTGGAACAGCAGGTTAGAGAGCTAAGCTGTGACAGCTGGCAGCAAGTCCCAGCTCCATGCTCTAAGCCACCCCTGTCTTCTGCTGCTCCCAAGGAAGTGCAGGTACCATTCAACTATTGAGGAGTGAACATCTACTGTGAAATTGCATCATGTGACCTTGAGTGAAAGAATATGGCTTCCTGTTCACATCAGCCTCTGGGGGGAGGGGAGAGGGAGAGGGAATATGCATGTATAGCTGCATGTGTGTGTTTCTTTGTGTGCATGAGGGCTTGGGTAAGATGGAGACTGAAAAATCTCAAATACAGATGTTTGTTGAACACACCCACCCATTCACAAGGTCAACATTGGTCTTCTTAAATATTACTTGGTGTTGCTCTGCAAATCAGAAGAGCTGACTAGGGCCATCCGTGGTTTGAACAGACTGTGGGGATTGCTGCATCTGTCTTTTCCTATGTCCCAAGGAAACCTCCAGAGCACAGGGTACAACCTTGATATATGCATCTCAATCTGTTAGGAATGGTGGTGTCTGCCATCTCCATGAACCACCCGCCCCCTCTTTTCCTCTCTCTCTCCTGTCTCTCTCCTCCCTCCCTGTCAGGATCTTCTATCTTGTCCAGGCAGGCCTGGGACTTGCCATGTCCTGTCTCAGCCTTCTGAGTGCTGGATTGCAGGTGTGAGCCATTCCGGGCTCCTATGCACTCCTCTTAAGAGACTTCATTGCGGGATCCACCAAGGTTTCCAAGGCAAGGGCACATAAAGACCAGTCAGTGTGTCCTCTAAGAGTCCAGACCCATGAGCCTGGAAAGTGGCTCTTCCTCCCTCTGGGTCTTCTATGTTGCTCTAAAAGGCACAGCCTTACTTACAAAGATTGAGAAGAGGAGATCCACTCCTTTGGTTATTTCTGTCGTCGGAAAATGATTTGACGCTTGGGAACTCACTCAGCTTCCTGGGTTCCTACTGTGTTGGAAGAACCCCTCCTATTCAGAATATGGCTTCCTGTCCACATCAGGTGGCTTCAGGGGAGTGTACTATGTGTGTGTGTGTGTGTGTGTGTGTGTGTGTGTGTACCTGTGAAGGCCGCAGAAATAACCCACTTGTTTTTGGATACAAGGTCTCTCACTAAACCTGGGACTCACCAATTTAGCTAGGCATGTTGGCCAGTGAGCCCCAGGGATCTACCTGTCTCTGCCTCCCTAGTGCTGAGACTACAGGCATGTGCCACCATGTCTGGCGTTTTTACAAGTGCTCTGGGGGTGAAACTCAAATCCTCACAGTTAGAGGTCAATCAGTTTACCAAGTGAGACATCTCTATACTCTCCCCACCCCCCACCACTGCAGGTAGGGGGAAGTGTTGAGTGGCGCAAAACAAAAGCATGAACAAAATCGTTCTTTTAAGTTTGAATTTGCCTTCTTCTCTTCCCTGGTTCTTGGAGGCGAACTCGGGTGGAATCTGTATTGTATCATGTGACAGCATGAGATCAGAACTTCAGGCCTCTGGGAGAGTGATGCCAAATTCAACCTCTTCAAAGAAAAATAGGAGAGAGTCCCTCAAGGGCGTTCTGATCTTTCTCTGTTCATTTGGGGGCACGGAGCTGTATATGCAAAGCTAATTGACTACTGGGTTTAGACTAAGATGTCACTAAGTTCATCCCAGGCTACCTCCTTCATGACCCCCACCATTGATAACAGCCCCTCCCACCTGCCCTCCTTCCTCTGTTCTTTCTAACCCTTTCTGTGCTAACTCCAGAGCCCTCTTTCAAAGACAAGTCAGATAGTCCATGTTAGGCTTTGTTATGCAAACAGCCATAAGCACTGAGGCTTATTTTTCTCTAGCTGTCAAAAATAGCAAAGTTACTGTTTGAAGAGACTCAAATTCCTCCAGACACTATTTAGTACTTTGAAGAACAGTTGAAGCTTGGTAGTAGTTTCTGAGATTTTTCAGCATGCTGCTGAGCAACTTGCTTCAGAACCTGCAGTTTCGTTCATGAGACTCAAAGGTGAGGTGTCTCTAGGCTCCAGTCAGCAATTTAGAGGTTGACTTGAGTTGTGGCCTCCCAGCCTTGCATGTTAACATCAGTTTTCATGGCTTGCCTTGTGCCTGGCATTCTGATAGCTTGATAATCCAAGGAGTATTGGAACTGGTCCCGATAAGGCTCCCTCAGTCAGAATTCTATCAGAAACATTCAGAGGTCAGTTCACCTTTTGCTAGGAAAGGAATTGGAAATGGATTTTGATCCTTCAGCCAAAACAGAGTTTAAAGACTAAGAATTGGGATGAAATATTTATCTACTTATTCTTTTGAGACAGGGTCTCAGGTAGCCTAGGCGGTCCTCAAATTCACTATGTATCCAAGGATGGCCTTGAACTTCTGCTCCTCCTGTCTCTATCTTATGAATGCTGGGGTTACAGGCGTGGGCCAGCACTCTCAGTTTGGGGATGCCATTTTGATATGGTGTAGGGTATCGGCAATAATGTGGACTAGCTCAACCTCATTAGCTCAGATCCAAAGAAATGGATCTACTGGAAAATTCCAGGGTCCATAAAGGTAATGAATCTCAGTTTTATATTTTACCAAGATGTTCATTTGAAATAAAATTGGAATCTTCCTATAAATAACCCAGCTGAGGCAAATTTCATTTCAGTGGTAAATATACCCAACTTCATATAAGCCAAGCATTAATTTTCCTTTTCCCTTATAATTTTAAGTAATATCAACAGCTCAACATATAAAAATGTTCACACAGAAAACATTAATAAGGGAATCTCCAAGGTGGCACTTAGCATACTCCACAAACTCTTCAAAACCAACAGTTGCACAGGAAGCAAAAGTAACGCCAGAGTCGGGTGAGCAAAGGAACAGAGAATGGATCTGAACTATGATTCTGCCAGTTACATGCCTAGGGGTGGAGTGTGGGCAAACTGCCTAGAGCCTCTTGAGTTTCTGAAAGAAGAGTGTTTCTTTCAGCTGGGCATGGTATGGTTTATTTGTTTGTTTATTTATTTATTTATTTATTATTTATTATTTATTTATATGAATGCTATGTCTGCAAGTATGTAAGTGCACCCATGCCGAACAATGCCCATGGAGGACAGAAGAGCATGTTGGATCCCCTGGAATTGGAATTAAAGACAGTTGTTAGCAGCCATGTGGGTGCTGGGATTGAACCCAGTTCCTCTGCAAGAATAGCCAGTGCTCTTAACTGCTGAACCATCTCTCCAGCCTACTTTTTTTTTTTTTAAAGAGACTTATTTTAAAGTTTATTCATTTATTTGTGTGTGTGTGTGTGTGTGTGTGCTCTCATTTGTGTGGGTGCCCAAAGGAGGCCAGAAGAGGGCATTGGATCCCGTGGAGCTGGAGTTACAGGTGGTTGTGAATCACTTGACATGGGTGCCAGGGGCCAAACTTGGGTCTTCTGAAAGAGCAGCCAGTGCTCTGAACTGCTGAGCATCTCTCCAGTCCTCATCATTAATATTTTACTACCCCGGGGGAAATCCGAGATTCAGAACTTTTGCTGAAAGGCTCCTGTGTTTTGTTTTATAATTCCCATTCCAAACCATCTTCCTATCCCCTGCAGACAGTAATTTTCAGCAGGTTTTATCAGACTTATTAGGTTGAATGTAATCAGTACAGAACCCGTCTCCCTGTTTGTGCTTTTGGCTGGCCCGGTATTAAAGCCCACAGACTTTCTCTTAATCTGAGAGATTTTCTTATAAAACAAATGGTCCAGAGAAAGAGCTCCAGGAAGGTGAATGGAACTATGTAGGTAAGACCAGTGTGAGGGAAGAGTGGGCTTCCCAAGAGCAAGGTGTCATTAAACTGACAGGTGCAAATCCAAAATCTGCATATTTCTGCCTCTGCCTACCTGGTGGGAGGGGGGTGAACACACACTTCTGCCCACTCACTTTATAAAAATATACTTGTGCTTCAAGTAGTTAATTTTTTGATGTGTAGCTGAGTTAATATGTATAAGAATACTTTTCTATTTAGGGCTTGATGGATGTCTTAGATGTGTTTTGCAGTTATTTTGAAATCCTGTAGGAGCTAGAGGAGTCTGTGGTGTGGTACATCTGTATGTGACTGCGACATTAGTACTTATGTTGCTCCATTTCTTTTACTTAAAATATAGTTATATGAGAAATGAAATTCTTCCTATTTTATTTTTATGAGAGGATGATTTCTGGGAGGAAAATTATCTCTTTAGAAATGAATTGGGCAAATGGGCCGTAGTGGCTCATACTTGTAATTCTGGCACTTGGGAAGATGAGACAGGAAGATTGCCGTGAGTTTGAGGCCACACTGGGTCGCATGGTAGGTTTCAGGTTAGCCTGCACTGTTATCCAACCTGAAACCCTGTCTCAACAAAGAAACAAAGAAAGCAAACAAAACAAAAGGAGAAAAGACCTGAAATGAATCGGGCAATGCATTTATTTCTGGGGAAGGAAGAGCACTCAAACGAAAGCGATTGTGCAATGGAATACTAAATACATCATCAGAAAGGGATGGAAGGAAGGCAGAGGCTGGAAAATCAGTCACCTGCCCAGTGAAGTTAAATACAAGCAAGACGTTTTTGCAACTGAGTTTTCTATGAATTAATTATTTTAAATTCATTCATGTATCTCTAACTATCTAAAGTGATCTTGAAACACTCTCTTCTCTGACTTCAACTCCCTACCCCCAACCCCTCAAGGCAGGCTTTGTTTCACCCAAAGTTTTTAAAAATCAACTTGGAAGCCACAAACATGCTACCAAAAAGCGTTTTCAGAAGTACTCGCTGGAGTGGACCTCCAGAAATCTCCCCAACGGGTACATTTTTACATGTTCATAAAAGCGAGTGAAGGACGGAGGAGAGGTCTCCGCAGACAGGTGTTTGCAGCCAAGTCTGAAGACTTGCGTTAGAGTCCCAGGACCCACACGCTGAAAGGCGAGAAATGGCTCTCACAAGTTGTGCTCGGACCTCCACACGTGCTCACCATCCCCCAACAAATAAATAAATAATCCCCATTTTTTTAAAGAAGTGGGCACAGGACCTTCGTGCAGGATAGGGAAGTGATCAAGACAGTGTGTGTAAGATCCTGAACGTGAGCGCAGAGTTAAAAATGAATGTCTTCTTTCCTTCAACGGGCCGTGCTCCCAGGAAGAGGGAGCTATTTATGCTACTGCTGTCTCCCTAGATCCTGGCCTGACCACTCAGGAGCGCAGAGTTAAAAATGAATGTCTTCTTTCCTTCAACGGGCCGTGCTCCCCAGGAAGAGGGAGCTATTTATGCAGTTACTGCTGTCTCCCTAGGTCCTGGCCTGACCACTCACTGATTCTTTGTTGAACAAGTGAATGAACAAAATGGGAACGTTGGACACAATCCTATGTCTATCAACAGAGTAGCGGTTACTTGAGGGTGTTAAATTCATTCAATATAAATCAAAGAAGTCATTAAAACAGTGAGGTGGAACGACATCAGGGTCGTGAACTCAATGTACATGGGGACATGGGTGAACTGGGCTGGAGTGAGAATGGGGAATTGTGGGAATGTGGGCTAGTAAACTACGCCTCCTGTGTATCTGAATGGATCACAATGGTAATATGTTTTAAGAAAGACACTAATTAGGATGTCAGGAGTTTGAGGCGGGGCAATCATGGTAGCTTTGCAGCAGGTTTAAACATGAAAAAGAAAGAATAGTGTTCAAGTTCCCATGTAACAAGAGCAACAGGCACCCTGTCCATTCAGGGTTACTTGGGGAGAGCCCTCGCCTCCCTCCACCCCCTTCTGTAGAGGGTCAGTCCAAAGGACTGCTCTATTGCTAGTATTTCCCCCAACCATCCAGACGACCTGATTTTTACTGCTAGAAAACAGTATCTAGCAGAGAGCTTTGAGGGATAAATTCACATGGTGTGGCGCCTCATCACTGTTGCTAGGGTCGAACTCTGGTTTTGAGGTTCCCCTTCACACTTTTGTTTGCAGATTCTTGTTTTTTTCTCCTTTGATCAGTGAAGCTTGCCACACCAGTCACACGGAAGGGGAAGTCATTATTTTCTCTGTCTCCCATATGCCTCAGTTTTATTCAAAAACAGGAAAGCTAATCTCCCTCAATATCACAATCAACCATTTGGGAATCTCATTTGTCATTCAGATGAGTTGGCAGAAATGGGTGAAATGTGTTCTTTACTGGTATCATGTAAAATGGGTGTGAAAGTCTGAAAATTTAAAACTATTATTTTATTTATTTATTTAACTGGAGAGGCATATAGAGATATATGTTATTTATTTAGTGTGTGTGTGTGTGTGTGTGTGTGTGTAAAAGGGAAAGAGAGACAAAATGAGGAAGAACAGGGGTCTTGTGCCACAGCATGCAGATGGAGGTCCGAGGACAACTTTTGGGCATCAATTCTCACCTTCCACCTAGCTGAATGAGGATTTCCTCTGTTTGTGCTGCTGTCCTGGGTGCTCTGTGGTAGCCGGCCTGTAAGCTTCTGGCCAGTTCTCCCATCTCTGCCTCCCATTTCCCCCGAGGAGTGCTTGGATTACAGATGTGCTCCTCTGTATCTGACTTTTTATATGGGTTCTGGGAATTGAACTCGGGCCACCAGGACGTTTACCTGCTGAGCCACCTCGCCAGTCCCAAAGGCTCAATGCTTGATACCCCTTTCAGTGCTAAACTGTAGAGTCAATGGGTAGTGAAAGAGGTGGTGTTCAGCCTCACGGACTGCCCTCTGCTTCTACGCCCTTCATGCCAGAAACCAACAAGAATGTGACTCTTGCCAACATTTCAATGTCTCATTTCCCATTGGCAAAGTTTTTTCTGGGTTTTATACTCTTTAGGGGCTGGAGAGATGGTTCAGTGGTTAAGAGCACTGGGTGATCTTTCAGAGGACCTGGGTTCGATTCCTAGCACCCACATGGAGGCTAACAACCATGTGTAATTCCAGTTCCAGGGGATCCGATGCCCTCTTCTGACCACTACAGGCATTGCACAATGGAGGTGCACTTATATCTTGCAGGCAATACACTCATATATATATATAAAACTTTAAAAAAATATATAAAATGTTTTAAAAAACCACTCGGGACTGGAGAGATGGTCAGTAGTTAAGAGCACTGGCTGCTCTTACAGAGCACCTTGGTGATGGCTAACCCACATGATGGCTAACAACCATCTGTAACTCCAGTTCCAGGGGATCTGATGTCTTCTCTGAAGAGGTACACGGTAATAAAATTCTTGTTTTTCATTAAAAGAGAATTAACTCGATGGCATCTAACTGTGTTTCTGCTTGTTATCCAACTGACTTCAGCTTTGGCTGCACTGTGGTAAATTTCTGACTGTTGAAGGCACACCCTTCTTCATGGGCACCAAAAGGTGTCTGCCCACAATCTTTCCATTCTCTGCAAACTAATAGCATGCCAAATTCACCACTGAGCTATGCATACGCATTCTAAGAATATCTTTCTCCTTACCTTATTTGAATGACCTGTGCGACAGCTTTATCCAAATCTGCGTCACTCAATGTCACCTCAGAATTGCTGCACCTCAGTTGATATGACT